GGGATTACCGCTAGCCTTATCAGTGACAGCCCATGTCATGCAATGCAGCTGCCCACTTGACCATATTGGAAAAGTGAAGGGCTGAGCCAACTGATGCAAAAAAGCAATTAGTGGAAAAAATTCATTTTGATCCTCCCCCCCCCCCGGTGTTCCTGCCTCCTTTCTTAAATATCTTACTAGCATTTATCATTTGTTGCAAGGAGGGGTGTGGGGCCAAATCTAGCCATGCTTCAGACCCTCAAAAAAAAAAGATCAATGGGACAAGCCATTTAGATACATTATTTATATACTGCTTTTGGGCTCCACGTGGGCCCCTCCTCCAAAGGCATCATAAGCATAAATGAAACTATTTTTTTAAAGTTGGCTTTAAAACAACTAACTTATTCAAAGCTTGTTGTGAGCATCTGGGAAAGACTGGACTAAACATACTTGCTGTGAGTAGGGCTGTGTCTGCCCAGATCCTGCTTACTGCCGCCTCTGCCTCTCCCTTCCCTTCCAGTGACACCCCAACAGGGGGGAGAGTGCTCACGGCCACCTCTCTTTTTGTCCTTTACCTGCAAAGGCAAGTCCCTATGGTTTTGGTGGAGGTAGAGGCAAGGCAGAGTGGGTGATTCTCAGCAAGCTTTCCTGGCCTCCTGAAAGTTCATTTGGAACACACACAAAGCACTGACCTTTTTCAGGGTGGGAAAATGCAAACATGCCTATTAAAACAGTAGCATTATAAAAAAAGCTCTGGGGAATCAGCCTGCATGAAAAGCGCATCTGTTTCAAAATAAAATAAAATCTGAAAGCAGGGATAGAAGGGCCTGCACAAACCTTCTGAAAGAGAGCTTTCCACGGCCTGACATTGTGAAGCCACAGCCTGCCATCCATTTGGGGCTTGTGCAGCTTTGCAGTGAATCGTGACCAGAAAAACCTGGTCCCACAGGAGGTGGTGGGTGGCCACCAACCTAGATGGCTTTAAAAGAGGGTTAGACAAATTCATGGAGGAGAGGGCCATCAATGGCTATGGACCATTATGGCGATGCTCTGCGTCCACATTTGGAGGCAGCAATGCTTCTGAATACCAGTTGCTGGAAGCCATGCTCTTGTGCTCAAATCCTGCTTGCATGTTTCCCATAGGCATCTGGTTGGCGACTGTGTGAACGGGATGCTGGACTAGACATGCCATTGGTCTTGTGATGGCCTGGGACTCAGGCTCGGACTCGGAACCAGAGGAGTCTCAGTCTGTACTGGATCCTTTGCCTCAGGCATCATCTGAACTATGTCTGGGGCCTGATCCAGAGGAGTCCCAGTCTGCACAGGTTCCCCTGCAACAAACACCAGCTGGGCCAAGTCAGGGGCCTGAGCCTGCTCTGGCTCCAGATGCGGGGATTACCTCGTTGCGTCAGCTGGGACATCACTTATAGCTGCTCCACTACCGGTTTGGTCAGGGGAGGCTGAGGTGGCCTCTGGGTCTAGTAACCCACTGATGTCTCCCAAGCTGCAGAGACTAAGGTCTGAGAGAAGGAGAGACCTGAGTACTCGTAGGAGGAGTGCTCGCTTTCGGGTGAAAATGGGAGGTGAGTCACCGGGGAATCAGGACCGGCCACTACCCCGACAAAGATAAAAGGCTGTCGGACCCTGCCCCAGGTTGCGGGAGCAACATTGCTGTATGCTAGATCCTGCCTGAGTCCTGTACCTGTCCTTGCCTGGTTTACTGCCTCGTGTTCTGCCTTGGCCCTGTCGGACTGCCTCCTAGTGGTACCTTTGGATTTTGGACCGGTCCTGGACCACGTTTCACGGGTTACCCCCGGGGCCAGCACAGGTCTGATCCATTAGGCTCTTCTCATGTTCTTTTCTCAACCAGCAATCTCAGGGTTACCAGGGACAGTGTCTTTCGCTCATCAGTCGTCTCCATAAATAGTTGCTTATGTGCTTACTGTGCTCAATTTTAGGTTTGGGCTTCAGCATATAAAGCCTTGAATGGTCCAGGACCCAAATACTTGATGAGCTGCCTCTCCCAATATGCTACAACCTGGCCTTTAAGATCCCTGGTGGGGGCTGCTGGTGGTGAAGGGAGATTTCACCCGGGCAGTGACACAGAGCACGGCTTTCTCTGAAATAAGAACCCCACTGTGGAATGCTCTCCCATTGAAGGTACACTTTATCCCCTAACTGTTCTCTTTCTGTTGCCATCTGAAGGGTTTAAGATGAAATTTATATAGTACTGTATACCATACATGATATACAGAGTGTGTTGAGATTATGTCTGCTGCATGATGTACTTTATGATATTTTAAGCGTGCGTGGTATTTATTCTTACTTTATGTATTTCTGTGTACTGTTCTGCAATTGTCAGGGTGGTCTAGAAATAAAATGAGGATAATAATAATAATAATAATAATAATAATAATAATAATAATAGATGTTTATGAAATATTCTATACACATTTAGTCATGCTTGCAATCAGTGAATACCTACAAGTGTTGACTGATCTCAGGTGTTGACAGAAACCCAAGCATGCGCCATCTTTCAGGAATCACAGCCAGACATGCTTGTAATTTCTTTGTGCCAAAGTGAGTGTTCCACAGCCTGTTTTCAGAGCAAATGCTAGAGTTAATTAAGGTCAAGTAACTGCCTGGGAAGCAGAACAGAATGTGTTTGCCAGTCTGCACAGTGCTGAATGCTGATTCATACCACGGGAACATTTTTACAATTGTTTTGCAGCTAAATATTAAGATGCCACTACATTCTCCCCAAGTTTTTAATTTTTGCGACATGCATAATCGTGCACATTCAGAAGGCAGCCTAAACTGCTAGAGCAGCCTTTCTCAACCTGTGAGTCCCCAGATGTTGTTGAACTACAACTCCCATCACCCCTAGCTAGCAAGGCCAGAGCTCAGGGATGATGGGAGTTTTAGTCCAACAACATCTGGGAACCCACAGGTTGAGAACTGCTGCGCTAGAGAATCAGCATGAGGTGGATGGCATGTTAGGCTGCCACAGCTGTCATTGTGTCTATGTAATATATGTTCTAGCACAGCCTTCTTCAGCCTGATGCCCTGCATATGGGTTGGACTCAATCCCCCATCAGTTCCTGCCTGCAGGGCCAATAGGTGATGGGATTTGTAGTCTAAAACATATGGAGAGAAGGTTGGAGATGGATGTTCTGGTAAAGGCTTTCCATGCAGTGCAAACCATCTAAAATCTTTCACTGCAGCTGAAAAATTATATCCTAAATGAATCTGGGTGAAAGCATAGGTCAGACTATGCTGGCTGGAGTTGATGCAACTGCAACCTCAGACATTTGGAGGCTGTGACCCCGGGCAAGGCTGGCATAGATGACACTCTAAAACAGTGTTCCACGGACAGTGGCTTTTAAGTTGTATGATACAAGCAGCATTGCCCTGTTTAATAACAATGATACAGAAGAACTAAGCACACACTTTTCTTTAACCCATCTCTGAACTAAGCATGCACTCTAAGAGCAGGACCACCAGATGTAAGTCGGGCAAAAGCCACAGCTCAGTGACAGAGCTTTTGTATGCAGAAGGTCTCAGTCAGGTGCAATCCCTGCCATCTCCATGCAGGGCTGGAAGAGGCTCCCTGTCTGAAACCCTGAAAAGCCATCACCAGTCAGTGTAGATAACTCTGGCAAGATGGACCAATGGTATGGCTTGGTATAAGGTAGCTTCCTATGCTCCTAAGCAGCCTGGCTAATTAAACCTGTGCTAGCAGAGAGGCTTTCAAGATTGGTGAGAGTGGAGGAGCTGCATGAGCACAAGTCACTGGCTGGGATTGGGAGAGGACAGAAGGGTAGGGATTTAAGGAAGAGAAATATGTAGTCCAAGCAATGAGACAGGTGAATCGTTTTGGCAGCTGTGTGCATGTACATCTACAGGAAATTTTCGGAGGTTGGGTACAAACACTGAAAGGAGAGAGAAGGCTAGTTTCGCACCAAAAAAAAAATTAGAATAGTGCCTGTACATTTTGCTTCATATCTCAGGCTCTACAAATACCACAAACTTACTCTTTTTTTGATAATGAAAATTGGGAATGTGGGGATTATGGCTCATCCAGGGCAGGAGAACTTGCCCTCTGGCCCTGCTCCCTGTGGTGACCCATGTGTGTATGTAGACACTGCAAAGTGTTCTGAGTTCAGATGAAGATTTGAGGGCAATACATCCTTCTAGGAAGCAGGAGACATGTGAAGTGTTAAAGCCCGTGATTATCTCAAAGGGCTTTAAGGCGCCTGGAAAAGGCAGCCCGGGCTTCTTCGCAAAGCCCTGCACAGCTGAGCATCCCGACTGCATCTGCCGCTCTCTCTCTCTCTCCCCCCCCCTTCCTTTTTTAATGGCGTGCTACATTCGGAGCAATACATAAGCAGAGCCGAAACCTCCGCAGCACACAGCAGCAGCTCCTCCGCATGTGCCTGGGAGTGTGACTGCTGCAAACCGACACAGAGACAGTCAGATAGCACCGCACGTGTTAAAAGAAGAGGCCGGCTGTGGGATTTGGAAGCATTGTTGTTAGATAACAGCATTTAAGGCAAGCAAGCAAGCATTGCCAGGGTGGTGTTTTTGCTTTGCAGTGCGTCAGGATTGGCAATAATATCAATTACTCCCCCGGTGCAAAACACGAGCCTCTCCAAGGACAAGGGGGAAAGCCGAACTCCATCATCGCAGGCAGAGCAAGCAGAGCCCTGCAAAGCAGCTGCGCTCAGAGGGCCAGGCAGGCCAAGGCCCTTTCCAGCTTCTGAGGCACTGAGAAGTTAATACCATAAATCCAGACTGTTAACTCCATACCTTTGCAACACAACGCGACATCATGTGCCCTAGTCCACAGTGGCATTTATGTCTATTGTTATTACCATTCTATTTGTGTGGTCACTCCAAAAGGTCACTGGCAACCTCTCCCATTATTCTCACAGCAGCCCCGTAAGGTAGGCTAGGTTAGAGATAGTAGCCAGTCCAGAGCTATTTGGTGACAATTGCATCCTAGCGAGATTTGAACTTACTGCATTCTGAGCTCTGCATCACACTGGGTGTCAGGCAGGGGCCACATCCTTCTTCTCCACCACTCACTTGTTTTTGCTGATACGTTCATAGCTGCACGAGACCCAAAAGGCCTCATCTTGCTAATCTGCATGTCCAAAAAGAGAAAGAGAAACTTTAGGAAACAACCTATGTTTCCTGGCTGACTGGGGTCTGAAAGCACAATAGCCACTAGCTTAGAAAGACATAGGGGCTGATTTGGTCCACTGATTCCCAGCTGTGGACTACTGCCATATAGCCTGCTAAAAGGCTAAATCTATTACGACCACAGTATGGTGACCTGAAAACAGCTGGTTGCTCTGTGTTGATCAACAATCTCCTTGCTAGGGCACTTCTCGATGCCCTGTTTATTGAGCATTCATCCCAGTTTGTTTGCAGGCAGATTATACTACTGTTTAAAGAACTTTTAATCGGATTTATTTGTGGGGAGGCTGGATGACCCTGCAGTTATCTCACACTTTCCCAGTGCATTTTCTTGTAACTTTTCTCACTGTAAAAAGTCTGATCTTTTGGGGAAGTGGGTTTGTTGCACAAGATCTTCCAATGAGCTCTAATTGCTCAACCTGAATTTGACAGTATGTGACTGAATCCCACCCAAAAATAGAGACATTCTGGAAGCAGGTTTCGGGGCAGGTTTTGAAAGGGTCAGCTGAGCTCAGCCGGTGAATGCACTACAGCTCTTGTGACGTGCCGTTCTAAAATGTTTATAGAAGCACTTTTACAGTTCTAAACTAATAGAAATGTGCTAAGTGGTGCTTTCAGAGCATTGGAGTAAATGCAGCTGACAGGCTAACCCCGCAGGTAGGGTGAGAGAAGCTTCAAATCTGCAGAACAATTTGCAAGACAAAGTGGGGCAGAGCAGAGCAGCATATAAGCAAAAAAGTATGATTTATACTTTTTTTTATAAAGGACATCTTGCTGAGCTTATGCATGCCAGGTTATGTGTGTTACCACCAACACAACCTTCTTTTACTCTCACTGCAACTATGGCATTTTGTTTTTCCCATACCTCCCTTCTTTCTGTTCCTCCAACCATGTGTGTACATATGCCTGCCAGTTTAGGATTGTACTTCATGCATCTGATGATGTGGAGTGTGATCCAAGAAAGCTTGTGCCATATAATGCTTCTGTCACTCTTAAAGATGCCACAAGAATCTAAATATGCCCAAGGGTTTCTTTTCATCAGTGAACTTGCTCTTTGGCCCAAGAGCTCTCGGAAGAGCAGCAAGGTTCCTCAGTCTCCCATTCCACCAGTGTCTGCCTATCGAATTGGGTGAGAATCCACAGAAACACCTGCTAGAAGCATAGGTTCCCCAGAAAGGGGCAGAGTCTATACTGTGTAACTACAGGCTGACAACGTATGACTGAACCTCACACACCATGGCATGGTGCTGAAGAGAAGCAAAAAGACTATGGCAATTCAATGTATTGAATAGGGTAATACGTTTCAGAAATAATGTCTTAACAGATTGCTTTATTTGTGCATTTAGCAATGACAGAGTAAAGCATCAGAAAGACACACAGATTTTATTTGTCCACTGAAGAACCCTAAGGCTGAATTTCACAGCTTTTATACAGGATCTGACTTGGCTGTGGTGAATGCCAGACATATGGTCTGAAACCTTTCAGAGATTTTTGTTAATGTTTGTCCTTCCATAACACAATGGTGGGGGGGACGGACACAAAACAACCAACCCCTCCCCCCCGTCACAAACACCCACGGCAAAAAGGGAAAGGGTAGAGTGGAAGCTCTCTACCATAGAGCTCAAGAATAAAAGAATCTACCATACTATCCTTTCTCATACCAACAAGAGGGAGTTGCCAGTTCCACTTTCTGTTGCACATAGATGCCACCAGTGCTATTGGGCTAAAGATGGTATTATATGGCAGGCAGCTACCAGTTCAGCAGTTAGGTGGCATGAGGACTCAATAGATTCCCCATGGTCCTATAATATCTCAGACTTCAGCCAAGCTTATTTGGTATGAGCAACCAGTTACTCTCAGACTGTTTCTTACTATCCTGCATGCCTGCTCTGCCCTCAGATTAAGAGCTCCCTGTGCCAATTTTAAAATGAACAAAAAGCCAGAGACCCAGGTACAGATCTCCCATGTCTTCTGGGTTCCACAGTCTCCCTGTTCCCAGGTCTGGGATGAGAATCACTTCTTTGTATTTGTTTGTGAAGCATATATCTACTTCCCTAGGCCAAGGTTGAGAGGTCTCGGCTTGTATGTCCCTTGCATTGTTTCAAAAGCAAAACAGCCAGGCTGCAAAAACTGACTGGCTATCAGTGATAGACTTGTTTGCTTCCTGCCTGCCAAGGTGCTAAACATCACAATTATAACCATTATTATTGTTGTTGTTAATTTAATGCACTAAACTGATGGAAGGAAGCCCACATGGAGGACATTTCGGTCCTCTTCTTTTATTGTCTGCAGGCTTGTAGGAAATGCCACAAATTAGATTGCTTGGGGATTATATACTATACCCTGGCCAGTGACTGACATGTAGCAGATTTCCTCCTCCTCCACATTAGCTAATGGACTCTAGTTGTACAACAAGCTGCATAAAAGCCACCTCTGGCATTTCCCCTTTCTCACTCCCCGTCTTGTATGGGAACTTGCACTGTAATTGGATGTTACACAAGACGTGCATCTTGTACAGAACTCTGCACACCTATTTCACAGAGGCACCGTTCCAGCTATATACAAATGTCAAATGAATGGCTCCAAAATAGGGAAGGCACAATGGCAAATCAAGCTGCTGAAGGTACAAACCAAGTTGAGTAAGAATAAAGCAAGTAAACAGCAGCCTCTCTTTAATTACTTTCAAAAACACTCAGTAGGGGGTGTAGAAGAGGCTTTATCGTTTATGTCTAACGTTTGCTTTAATCTTCTGTAGTCTTTCTCCACAACTGCAACAAAGACAGGCTGCAATCCTAACCACGTCTCTTCATGTGCCTCATTTAACTGAATGGGCTTACTCCCAGGTAAGTGGGGTTAACATTGCAACTCAAGGGTGGTATTCAACTACTTTCTACTCAGAGTAACATGACTAATTCGGCCCATTAATTTCAATAGGTCTACTCTGAGTCCTGCAGTCCTGTGCCTGGTTTCCTGGGAGAAACTCCAATTGCACTCAGTGTAACTTACTTTTGAGTAGACACGGTTAGGGCTGTGTAGCAAGGTTGAAATCCTGTGTGTTTTTATCTGGGAACTACCAAGAGGGTTCCCACAGATATTCCTAAAAGCCAAGAGTGTCTTTAGGAAAGAAGGTGGTCTTATTTGGGCCTGAGGGAGCAATCCTGCACACAAGAAGCTGCTGTAAAGCAAACCAAGGTAAGCTACACCAGATCCAAACTCCTATTCAGCTCTGCCTAAGCCTGGCAAAGGGAAAACAAGCATTTAAAGTAAGTGTTCTATGCCCAGTTGCCAGGTCATGTGACTGAACTGAACAGGCTTAGCATCCAGACTGAGTATTCCCTCACTGCTCTGGCCTCCGGTGCACACACCCCTTTTTTGGATTTACAGGGGCCTCAGATTAGCCAGCTTTGGCTGAACTGAGCTGGGTACAATGGCAATCTTCAGCTGGGCCAGAGCTGGGAACTTAATGCCAGCTGAGCTGGACACCTGTTGCACCCTAAGCTACTCAAACCAGTGGATCTTGCCATAGGATTGCTTCCTAAATCATTTAATGGTTTAGTGTTTAAACACTAATGTGAGCTGAGCACCTTGAACTGGGCACCAAACTGGTTGCACCTAGATGCCAGGGTTCCATTTTTAAAAAGCACAATGTAGAGCCCGCAAACTCTGAACTGTGCCCAGTTCTGCACAGTATCTATTTGCCACTCACAAATTTAACTTCCAGAAATCATGGAGAATCCCGAAAAATGCAAGGTATACTAACAAGAAGTTTTCCAGGGTCCAGAAAATCAGCTCTGCCCTAGGTAAAAGGGCGCAGTTAAATCATACATTAAATCTGTCTTTGCCCCCTCAGCATAATAAAGCATTAAAAAGTATGCATATATGCATTAAATATTGTTTCAATTCCAATTAAAAGACCTGGCTTACCTTAAGTATGCCTCTGGTCAGGTGTGATCCTTCTTTCAAACTTCAGGTGGCAGTCTTCCTTAGTACCACATGGAACCTGAATAAGAATTTATTTAGTCTTTGAAAAGTTATTATCACTAGCGAAGGAAAAGGAAACTAAAGAATTTCTATGCCACCATCAACTCTGACCCCTGGTGTGCAGCACCCCTCATCATTTTCCCCAATGACCTTACCACAAATTAGGCTAAAAGAAAAGGAGCAGCTAAAAATCCCTTTTAAAAGTAGAATCTCTATCAGAATCTGCTGCCTCTTGTTTCAGGTGACTCCCAGCCACCTAATAATTGGCTCGTCTGCTTAATTGGCTCCTGCTGTACCTTTCGTGGGCAGAATTACCAGTGCTCAAGGCTTTGTGCAAAAAAAACTCCAGCTGTGAGTCATTTGCCTTGTTGCCAACTTGCTGAAGCTGGTGGTTCTGCTTCGTCACTCACCTGAGTTTTGAGTCCTGGCCCCTATTATATAATTTTTCTTCCCCGCTATCCTCCTCTATATTGCCTCCCTGGAAACAAAGTGGTGAAGTTTTGCCCATTTATAACAGTACCAATGAAACAAAATAAAAAAAATCCTTCCAGTAGCACCTTAGAGACCAACTAAGTTTGTTAGTTTGTTAGCACAAGTGCATGCACACGAAAGCTCATATCAATAACAAACTTAGTTGGTCTCTAAGGTGCTACTGGAAGGAATTTTTTTATTTTGTTTCAACTACGGCAGACGAACATGGCTACCTACTTGTAACTAGTACCAATGAAATACCTGAAGTCTTCTTGATGCTGGGCTAGATGGACCACTAGGCTGATCCAACAGGCAATTCTTACGTTCTGTTGCGGGACGAGCATCCTATCATCACCCTTCCTTTGCTAAAGCATCATCTGTTTCTCTCCATTGTATGAATGGGATGAGAGACAATGAGAACTCCTGCAGAGCAGAAGCTTGTAAGTGCAGAACCATGACCATGTCTGGTGGGTGGGGTGTTCAATCCACACTGCCTTTCCTGCTCTCAGATGTGTGTCCGACTAAGTTTTCCAATGAAAGGAACGCAATATGGATAGGCAGCATCCATAGCCAGATACGAATGTGCCTATGTGGACGACACAAAGGTCTTCTGTGGCCAGATTCCTGTGCGCCCTTCTGTCGGTCAGTCTGGATCTCAGGCTGAAAGTAGCAAGCAGAAAGCCCCTAGCTTCCCTTCAGCTGACTGCCAGAACCTGCTAGTAGGAATGTCTTTCAGCTTGTCAAACCAGAGCTAGGGAGTTCCCTCTGGGTTGCCTTATTTCAGCAAGTCAGTAATGCGGCTGTGTAAAGCATTTGCTTTCAGGTAATAAGTTTCAGTTGCCCCAAGCAAGAATCTTCAACCTGAAATGTTTTCAGCCTCAGTAAAACACATTGCTGTCTTTTTGTGCTCTCAGGACAGAGGGCTCAAAAACTTCTGTGGGAAAGGGGTACAGAGAAGTGTAGAGGCTGCAGGACCATGGTGCTGATAAACTGGTTGACCTGAATGTATTAATGAAGTGCAGGAGTAATGGGAGCAGGTGGGTGTGGCTTGATGAAAATGGCCTCACGGATCAAACTGGATCCCCTGCCATGCCGTGAAGGAAGTTTATTTATAAAAAAAGCTATTGAATATCCATTGGTTTCTGCCTCTAGTTTAGATTGTATGCAGGTCTCCTGCTTTTCTCCCTTAATTACGTATTCATTCATTCACTCATATAAGTTTTTTTGTTAAGCTAAACAAGAACTAGACTTGGGGTGATTATATTTGCCTCTTAGTATTTTTTTCAGAGGCTAACAATGAATTCAAAATTATATCTATGCCAATCTTTCTTCATATTACACTTTATTATACTCTGTGGAAATGATAATGAATTTCATTCTTACCAAGTCAATGTGATAAATAGATGCAGCTCAGTGTTTAATATATAGGTCTCCTAACCTATCTATAAGGATATTATTTTTCAGCTTGGAGTTTATATATCTCAAAAGAACAGGCTTTATCTTACAGAATCTCCAGTAGAAGCCTTTGGAGAAAAGGGTTGGTTGATCTGGAAGTATCTACACTAACAACTAAGGATATTAAGGAATGATTAGTGACATAATTTTAATCTTTAAATGACCAATTTAAGCAATTTGAAGAGAATGTGGTTGTTAAGATAAGAGATATTGATTCTATATTGATTAGAACACTATAACAAAAATATGAAAACTGAAATTGAAAGATGATCAGAAGAACTCCAGGAAGAACAAAAACAAAAAAGGAGAGGAAATAGATTCTTAAGGAGAAGATTCAATACAAGTGGGATATATCTTTTAAAACAATATTTTGATTTAGGCATAAGTGGTATACAGTTAAACAATGCCAGCTTACATCCATAACTATCAGGAGAACTTCATCAGATGAGCGCAACAATCACGTAGAGAAGTTATTAACATTCCTTGTACTGTACTTGAACTAAGTCACTACCTACTGGTAATTCTTCTAGCGTTTATTGAATTTTGAGCAGGACACTGTAGAATCTGGTTTCTTAATCTAGTCCACAGCCTAAAACAGAAGACAGACAGGACCATCCCACAGGCTCATAATCTTCAAACTCTAAGGATCAGGCCACATGAAGCTATATAATCTGTAAACAGGATTCCTGACATTGAAATCAATGTCAGTTACTTCCAGGTAAATGAGATAAGGGTCCTGGCAAGCACCCTTTCTGCTGCATTTACTGATGAAAGAAACCTCTTCAGCAAGGCACTTGAAACAGGATTTTGCTTCCCTCCCTGCTTAGCATTTAATTCCACAGCACATGCTTATGCTATATTTTTCTTTAATGACTGCATTCTTTCTGCTTGGAGTCAAGCTGTGTTAGTAGGCATAAGCTCTACGTATGAGGCCCGTAAATAATATGCTGGTAAACCCAAATATGTTATTGCAGAAAGAGCTGGTCTGAATGTTCAGAATGATGAAAATTTCAGCTAGGAATCTCAATCATGCTTCTGCATTCCCATTTCTAAGCTGGGCCTTGTGTTTCAGAGGTCATCTGAAGCATGGATTTTGCTGTAATGATTTCCTGCTTTACAATCAGATATTCAGCAGAGCAAATTTTTCACACTTCTGAAAACCCCAGCTTTGAAGCAAAGACAACACACATATATTATGAGGTGGGAAAGCCCTGGTATGTGAGCCAGAGACAGCGGATGAAACCTGGGTTCTACTCTAGATCCCCTGCTGACCACCAGCTGTTTGATGTTGTACAAAGTGTGTGCAATTGCCGCTCCTTTCTTTGCAATAACATGGGGAGTGGAACGACTAGGTTGAGAAGTAGATTTGTGTTTCTCGCCAATATGCCCAAAGTCATCCATGAGTTTTGCAAATACGGGCATGCTGTTTTTCAGGATTGAACTGCATTTTGAGGTTTGAGGCTTTGAATAGATGTGAGGCAGGACTTGAAATTCACATTTGCATTCTTCTGCTGGGGCTTGGTGAGGTGTTTCAAAACCCTTTGCTTTTATTTTACAAAAAAAAAAAAAGGTCAGGGGTAAAGGGAAGGTGAAACTGGGGCTGCTTGTTTCAGTGGGAAATAGTCCTCTGGGTTTGCCTTAGTGAGAGAGATTGTGTGATTGTTTTAAGGGTGCATGGCTGTGTGAGGGCCTGACCACACCCACATTTACTTATACAGTGGTACCTCAGGTTACATATGCTTCAGGTTACAGACTCCGCTAACCCAGAAATAGTGCTTCAGGTTAAGAACTTTGCTTCAGGATGAGAACAGAAACCGGGCTCTGGTGGCATGGCAGCAGCAGGAGGCCCCATTAGCTAAAGTGGTGCTTCAGGCTAAGAACAGTTTCAGGTTAAGTACGGACCTCCGGAGCGAATTAAGTACTTAACCTGAGGTACCACTTTAGCTAATGGGATCTCCCGCTGCCGCCACGCGATTTCTGTTCTCATCCTGAGGTAAAGTTCTTAACCTGAGGTACTATTTCTGGGTTAGCAGAGTCTGTAACCTGAAGTGTCTGTAACCCGAGGTACCACTGTATAGACATTTCTATATCCCCCTGTTAAGTATGTCCTCAGAACTGTTCAAATTAAAACCAGCAAAATATAAAGTACAATCACAATTCTAAAGCAACCGATCACTTTTGGATCTGGGCACACCCACTACTTGAATGCAGACCCCAACAACTTCCCACAGAAAGCTTTCTTCTGGTGAGGTCAAGGTAGTTGGGGGAATCCACTCAAGGTCAATTCCTTAGGTTGGTCCCCTCAGTCTCCCTGTTAAATTAGACCTAATTTTATTGTATTTGAAATCGGCTTCTCTTTGGATGGATCTATACATTCAGTAGTCTTACCACACGATACATTTTTGCCACCCACAGTCACACGGTGCAGTCACTTGATGTTTGATGAGCGTACGGTTGCGATGTCCTCTGTTTAATGTTGAGCAGGTCAGAGGAGTTGAAGGAGAAATGGTTTATTACAGAACTGCTTATAGCAGGCCTTCTCTCCTTTAGCTGCCTTCTGCCTCTGCTTCTAGGCCTGCCTGCTGCTTGGGCCTAACTTCCTAAACGACCTATGGGAGGTGCCCTTAAAGGTATACTCACATTTATCCTTAGCAATGACGGTCACAGAACAGCATTGAACCCTTTCGCGTCGTTCATATGGATCCTGCGGCGTGACAAAGGCAAAAATAGGTCAGTTGAAGCTACTAGCTGTGACTCATTGACATCTGGGCATGACAAATTGACAAATGACGCAGCAGAAGTAGGTTGGAAGAACAGGCTTCACGAGGCTGTGTCAGAGCTGCCTCTGCCGATTCCTGTTATTGGGGGAGTTTGTTTTTCCCCCTGTTTGTAATTTCAGCTGTTGGCGGCAGCTGCAGAATTCTACTTGTTTTCATGAATTAAATGGCAGCAGAATCACTTACTGCACAGTTAGCCAAGTTCACTCTACTGCAGTGTTATCCAACAAAAAGGAAATGCATGCAAAAGCAAACAATTGCTGTCCTAATTGACCGGCACATTAGCTTGCGATGTACCAGACCCGTTGCCATTGTCACTGCATATTCGTTAAAGTAATAAAACCACAGTTAAGGTGCAGGCCCCCTAACTCATTGAAGGAATGCGTGAGGGGACTTGTCATGTAGACTAGCTCCACTACACTGGCAATCTGCACAGCAGCCACAACTCCCACTGCCTGAGCATTTGGCTGGGGTGAGAAGGTTCACCACGCCCATGTCCTGATTTATGTGTGCAGAGCTCCCCTGCTCCCCAGAATGGGCCAGGGACCTTCCTTGCCTGCAGCTCTGTGTATGTACACCTCAGTGTCCCCAAAGCCCTTTCTGATGTGCTCCAAATGTGTGGATAGCAGGAGGGCATGTCTGCTGGGCCTGTCAGTGGCAGAGACTGGGATGGATCTACTTCAATGCAGGCCAAGAGACTCAAACAACAGTTAGCCATCACACCAGTAACACCAAAACCAGTTTGGGTTCCTTCCATTTCCTCCTGTGCTGTCTTTGGAAATAGGCAGATGGGCCCTCTAGCAGCTCTTAACTTTTAACTGTCCTAGTACTGTTATTAATTTTATTGTGTTTGTTTCTATGGTGAAAAACTCAATACGATGAAAGTAATAATCAGTTAAAATAATAAAATAAGAATTCAGCTAAATGCCCACTAGAATATGTATTTCAACAGTCTTCTGTAGTTCACCATCTGATTTGAATCGTTGTTGTTGTTGTTATTATTATTATTATAACCAGCAATTCCATACAAGATCAGTGTTTCAAAAATGTTCAGTAGCAAAATCCTTGCTGATCTAGCCTATAGATGCCTAAGCAGCATATGTAGCAGTCTGACATAAGAATTCATCTAGGAATACTGCTGAGATGGGGATAGCAGTAACTGCCTGATCAACACACAAATGTGTTGCTCTAGAAGGGTGTTCATTTATGCATGAAGCAGTAAGATACTATTTAGCTTCCAGCCTGCTGTATCTGATTGAATAACAATAGGAAGGTTGCCGCTTGCATAGAAGCAAAATAAGGTCACTAAACATGTTCTTAAAACACTTACAACTAAACCCACACTGCCATGACTCTAGGTAGGCTGTATTATGCATGCTGCTTCTAGTCACATGCTGCATTCTCTTCCATCACATTGTGTAAATTTATACACAGAACAGTAAGGCTTTAGCTGATTTGACAGCCATGGAAGTTTATCAGCTCCAAGTTTGTTCTTTGGGTCTGTGCATGCTGTTTAGTTATCCCAATTATTGCACAAATATGCTTATTAAGGCTTAGAGCTTTATTAAGCTGTACATATTAGAAATAATTTGTGAGTTTATTTAATGAGCCTTCCACATCACTGTCATTAGTTCCAAGACCAATGCTCTGCAGTTATGTCTGCACTTTAAAGAAACTGCCACACGACTGAAGAATCACCATCTCATGAATAACACATGCTGATATTTCAAGACTTTAGAGCGGTGTTTCCCAAACTTGGGGTGCCAGCTGTTGTTGGACTACAACTCCCATCATACCTAGCTAGCGGGACCAGTGGTCAGGGATTATGGGAATCGTAGTCCAAAAACAGCTCAAGACCCAAGCTTGGGAAACACTGCTTTACAGCAACCTTTGAAAAGGTACAGATACCAAAGAATTGACTTCACAAGCTCCACAAAACGAGAATGGTGTCATCAGTGCTCCCACCCACTTCAATGGGTCTTGCACAGGAAATGTTCCTGCAAAATTTCAAGTCATTGTTCTTTAGCTTTCCAAGATCATGAACGGTTTTTTGTTTTGTTTTTTGCAGGGTGGGGGAGATGAGAAAAAGAATCACTTACAAATTCTGTAAAGAAAATGTTTTATTTAAAGTGTTAAATACCATCACCAGAATGAATTTGATTTACATTAGTTGGTGTTCATTAACAGGCCTAATCTGCCCTTTTCTCCCCCAATGTCAATTCCCTTTACTTTTAAAACAGACTATGTACAAGACAGCTGTGGTCACTGGAAGAGTGCTATTTACATGACTAAATTATAAGTAGAGTTGCAGACATGTGAATATCTTAAAAAAATACAATCAACTTTTAAAATAAATACTGCATAATGACCAGGTATGTACAGACTTTCCATACGGTCATGTCCTTCTTGTCTCAAATAGAAATAATTTAATAATAGGAATATGCATAAAAGAATGCATTGACTGCATGTCACAGTATCAGGAAGAGAGTCATACGTCTTAAAAAATGGTTTTACTCCTAAAGGATAATGCAAAGGTATGTCTTTAGCATTCATGGGTTGCCATATACAGGTGAATGAAATAATTTAATCACCAAAATTTTACCAATCTTCTTTAACTTAATACATGTAAGTTTGGCGGGGGAGCAGTCGTTCCACTCTAGTAATTTCTTGTGGATGCATGGAAATCCCATCAGCAAGTGCTTCTCCCTTCATTTCAGAAGAGAAGCATCTCCATACCAGAGTTTTTCCCCACCGGTATAGGGAGGGAATTCTAAATAGCTGCATGTGTGCAAATCACCAGGCATTTTAGCATCCGTGTCCATGGTGCTTGCGCATGGTTCGTGAATGTACTTGATGGACTGTGCTCATAATTTTGATTTATGTCAAATTGTACCATATAAAAGAAAAGGCCTTAGAAAGGACACCTATTTTTTACTTTTGCCATCCTGTGATGCACGTACATTTTGGGATAACACTACAGATTTTTCATACAAAATCAGAGTACTTGTGTGCATGGCCTTAATTTAAACAGTGTATATTCAAATATTATTGCAACACTTAGACATTAAACAATAGGTATGTATTAAAGGCATCTAAAGACACAGAGAAAAGGATGATAGACTTGAACATTAACAAGTTACATTCCCTTTCATCAGGAAATAATAAGAGATCAGGACTTAGAATACCCCCACCTTTCCACCCCTCCTTCCAGTGGTACTAAATTATCTGATACACAGGAGACAGATGTGTATGTTTCTTCAGATACCTGTGGTATCTGCATTTAGGCTCTTGGTGATGGTGTCAAAAAATTAGTAAATTGCATGTACTTTATTTAAGGCGTTTAAAAATCAGCAGGTGAAATCCTGCCATCACTTAGGGCACGTAAATACCACTAATTGAAAGACAGATGCGGGATTGCAGTTTGAATTGTGACTTTTAATGTCAGGCTGATATTCACTGATTTGCCATCACATAGTTTATAAAAACTGAACAGAACAGCTTATTTGCTATTTATTGTGACCCTAAATGGGTAATAATTTGTTTGGCTCAGTGCAAATTATAAGATGCTGATATTTAGCAAGACTAACATCTTGTATTTCTTTAAGACCATCCAGAAATGATAGTTCAACCTTTGAATGAATGATGCTGGTGCTGAAAACAAATTTATTGAAGACATTTTACAAATGGCCACATGATTCCAGTATTTTGCTGTAGAATTTAATTTGAAGGTGACAAAAAAAGAAAAGAAGTTTCCATGCACTGTACAATAAACTGCAAAAAGTTCAAATTTTTTTATCAAATACATGCTGAATTATTGTAATGTACTCCCCAAGCCATGTTGCAAAATTCTTTTCAACATGCTTGAAAAAAGTTCTTAAACAATATTCTGTTCCTCTCAAAGATTTCAGAAATGCAGAATCATCTGCAACCCTGAACCAAATATGGGGCATGAGAGTAGTTAAGTCAAAAAGTAGCGTTTTCAGAGTATAATGATCATCCTGGGAGGTAGGAAGGGAATGAGAGAGCAAAAGGAGAGAGGTGTAGACAAGAAGGGGAAAAGAAGTATACAATTTGCACATATCGTTGAACTTTACAAGGCTTGTACCTTTTACATTTAAATAAATTTAATATATTACACTTATTTCTTGTCACATAAACGTAATTTTAAATATTTGCTAGAAATTATTTGTTTTTCATTTATGTCTGCCAAAACACAGACCATGATTGGTTTAAAGAATGATAAACTTGGTGTGTCTTACCACCCTGTTGCATTCTCTCCCTTTTAAAACCATGCACTAGTGAAATTTATTTTTAAAAATAATATAAATTGTTGAAAATGGCTGATTTATTCTTTTTTTTTTTTTGCAAGTTGCAGCCCCAAGAAAATAATTTAAGTGTTCAGCATAATCTGTGTCCATGCAAAAAAGTTTCTTTAATTTCATACAGTACAGTATAGCCACAGAATTTTATTTTTCAGAGTCCACGCACTGGAGTTGACTCCAGCAGTAGCTGGAGTTATGAAGCCTGCCACTATAAGACTTCAACCTTTCTGATAAGGCAAGGTTCCTCTGCTGCAAATAACTGCTATGACAGCTGGCATTCCTTTAATGGCTCTTTTCTTCCCTCCTTCCGATTGCGGCATAGCTTCTTTGGGTAGCTCCATATTTCTGTGGCATAACCAGGCTTGGGTGGGGACGAGGAGAAGGGGCAGATAAAGAAAAGGGAGCAAGAAAATAGATGTGGCATTGAAAGGGATTCTTGTTGCATGAGACAGCTTGATTCTTTGAGTTTAATCCATGGCTTCAGATTGGACTAAAACTTGAGTGTCACTGAACTCCAAACCATTCAGTTCTTTCCAGCTCCACTCCTTCACCTGAGGACTTCCTTTAGAGCACAATGTGTGCAACTTCCTCTGAGAACACAGGATCGCTTTTGTAGCCCTAGAAACAGGCTCCGAAGACACAACATTAAGCATGCAGTGTTACCAGGGTTTGCGACCTGTTAATTTTTTTTGTAACGCTGGTTGCTATGACAACAGTTTCACAGCTGCTATGAACGAGCATAAGAAGGTCCTGTTGAACTTTCAAGAGACGACTGGGAAGCCCTTCTCGTAAGAGGGGCTAAAGTTGGATCTACTAGGGATGAAGGGGGGAAAAGTTTGAACCAGCCAATCACCATATTGGACAATTCCAGTTCGTCTAAAAGTATCTGTGCCACTCCCATAAAGGATTTGTGATCCATGCGTCCATAGTCTCCCCACACGATAATCTGTTGAGTTGAAAAAAGAAGACATGGGTTTTAGGAGCAGGGCAAAATGAAGTAGAATCATCACGTCAATTAACAAGATGATCTAGAATCAACAAAAGGGAAGTTTCAGAATCTTCCCATTTCCTAAGGTGAGCAATCAGACAAATGGTGTCCTTGCTCAGAGAGACCAATCAGGATCAAGAATCTCAAAACTTGGGCTGGGCTCCCAATCACTGTGCATGGATCAAAGTGCTGTTACACATATTCTGGGACTCTTCCCTTGTTAATCTTCCAACTGAGGTCCCTCAAACTCCAGATAACCCTGACTTTTGGAATCCAGTTTGTGGCAAGAATAGCCTCAAATGCCCCATTTTTATTCTACTTCATGTACAAACAAGGATTTACACACACACAGACCCTTTGGAGCTGAGCCTGACAGAATTTCAACCCCTCTCTTCTCTGTTTAAAGCAGCTTGATGTGAACATGTATTTGGAAGTAAATCCTACAAAATCCAGCATGTGTTCAGTTTATGAGTTATCTGCTACCATGCTTGTGCACAGTGTTATTAATCTGTTCTGAGATCAAACTTAAATTTTGCCATAATTTCTGATATGCTTCAAATCTGCTTTCCACCAAAGTTCACAGAATACTAAGGCACTAATACTAAAACAAGCAGGAATTGAGGAGCTGCTTGGCCACATATTAATGGCAGGACCTTCCTTTTGTTATAGAGGGGAGCAGAATGAATCCCTAAGAATTGCCGGCATATCATTTTCAGTGATATTCATTTCTTGGATTTATCTCTCAGTTTGTCTCAGCAGAAAGTGCACAGAATATAAAGCCATCTCATTCAAATTATACGGAATATCAAACACTGGATGCATCTTCTTGATAGAAATAAATAAAACACTAAGAATGATAGCACATGCGATTCATTAACTGGCTATTTGCTCTTAAAGATTTGTTGTGTTAGTAAGATGGGATACGATTCAAAATTAGTGTTGCAGGAAAATACTAATCTGCAGATATTTAGTTTAGAATAATAGAGAGTTTAAGAGGCAGCTATCTGAGAAAGCAGCATAAGGGAGCAGTCAGACTTAGGCATTTCAGTTAATGATGCTAGAATGGAAGGGTTTTAGATATGCATGGCTAAGGGTGCAAATTACCTGTAAAACTTTCCCTTGGGGACTTTCTTCAAATGACAACAGCTGCTGGTAAAGAGGTTCCAGCGTTTTTCTTGCCACCTTTGTTTTCTTTTTGGCTATACAGACTCCATTTTCTAATAGATACACCTTTACATATGGTGCTTTGGGGAGAAAAATATAAAGATCTGTTAGTCACCAGTTTTTGCACATTAGCTCTGCAGTTTTAGCACCTTATGCAAAATCCTGACATTTAACTGATAAATACTTTAATTAAACACACGCTCATACATTTCATTTATGAGCATTTATTCCCAAGGCATTCTGGATAGCCAACCTGCTTCAGTTCTCTTCCTCCCTTGGCACTATGAAGCAAATCAGGTATGTTTATTTATTTATTATATTTTGCAGTCTTTATTGAAGAGTTTTCTATACACTATATAGTAAACAGCCTCAAGAATTATTCATTTAACTGAGAAAATAGTAATACAACTGTAATAATAAAACATAACACAGTCAATTATTATTGTTTACAGCTTCATCCTGGCATGACTGACAATTCAGATTTTCAAGAATGAATGACACTATTGCTTCATGGCAGAATAAAGGAAAGAGGGCAAGTTTGTTGTGATTTTCAGTATTAAGAAAGGCAGTTACAGTCGTACCTTGGAAGTCGAACGGAATCCGTTCCGGAAGTCCGTTCAACTTCCAAAACGTTCGGAAACCTAAGCGTGGCTTCTGATTGGCTGCAGGAAGATCCTGCAGCCAATCAGAAGCTGCAGAAGCCCTGTCGGATGTTTGGGTTCCAAAGAAGGTTCACAAACCTCACTTCCGGTTTGCGGCGTTTGGGAGCCAAAATGTCTGAGTATCAAGGCGTTTGGGATCCAAGGTACGACTGTGATGAAATTCTAGATGCCTGGGAACATATACTGGCTGGTAGTGGTACTCCAAGGTTTCAGGTAGGAATGACTCTCAGCCCTACTTTGAGATGTGTGGGATTGAACCTGGGACCTTCTGCATGCAAAGCAGATGCTCTACCACTGATCTACAGCCCTTTCCCTATAGGGGAACGTAAGAACTTTAACAGCAGCCTTGCTGAATCAGGCCAAAGGTCTACTCCAGCATCCTGTTCTCAGACAGGACAACCAGAAGGAAAGCCTGCAAGTGGAACATCAGGGGAATAGCACTAACCCAACATTTGTCACACTCTATAGAATAGACTTATGCCCATTGATTTCGGTGGGTCTACTTTGTATATGCCTAAGGGGTTATCAGTCTAAGAGTATTTTTATGTGGAGTTATTTAGACCCTGTCTACTACCTGAGGTTCTTGAGGTAGTCTACAATGTATTTAAAACGCAATAAAGTAGTTATGAGTTACTGGGGGGTGGGGGGAGCAGCAGCGGCAAACATGTATTTGTTTCCTCTCAGTCCTCAAATGTTTCAGCATCACTCTGCAGCTGAAACAGCTGCCAAAGCTACAAGGCTAAGTTCCTCACACTGGGCAGCTGCTGTTCCATCTACCACCAAATCGAGAGAGCAAGGGTGTGAGAAATCTTCCTCCAGTCCTCAGATGTCGCTCTGCTGTGGAATCCTCGAACCTCAGCTGGTCTCATAGGAAATCATCCTGGTCCACGATAGTAAGAAGTGCCATACGTTTGCCCATTGATTACATGGGTCGAAGCTACATAGTTAAAACACTTCTACATTTAATATATGAAATTGATATATCAGAGAAGTTGGAAGGTTCAATTAGTCTACTTTTTTAAAATAGTTGTATAGAGGTGGCCTATGAGACAAGCCTTTGACTATTGTGGCTAATAGTTTCTGAACCAGAATGTTCATGTGCTGCCATGTGCTTGGGGTTCAAGTGTACTTCTCTCACTCACCTGGCAGTGTCTTTGAACCTGGTTTTACAACAAGGCCTCGGGCTCGTATTATTTCCACCTCCAACTGTCCCTTTTTGTCCATCATTCCAACCTGGATATCGCCTAAGTAGGAAAAGAAAAACCCATGTATTGCAAATTAAGGTTACACAGAAGTAAGGTAATTCATGGGAAACCATCTTTTCACACCAACTGCAGCCATATAAACAAAATTAATTTCTTACCCATTGCCGGTGTTGCCAGTGTTTGGCGACCAACAAGCTGTGCAGGGCCAAGTCCATCCAGAAAGTCACTGAACTGGCTGTCCGCAGCCAATCGCACACCAGGAAAAATCAAACTAATGGGAAAACAACCAATTTTTTTTTAAATAACAAGTTTCTAAATAATCAAAACAAAGCTATGCATACTGTATTACGGATCTGGCCTACAACAGGGTATCCACTTACGTATATGCATCAACAAACAGTAGTAAGTTTAGGCACTGGTGACATCAAGATTGGATTACTGCAATGCACTTTATGAAGAGTTTCCCTCGTCTGTAGTTATTGCAGAATGCTGCGGCTCAGTTACTGACGGGAGTGAGGCCCTGTCAGCATTTAACACCTCTACTCAGAGATCTGCACTGGTTGCCTATTTGCTATTGGGCCAAGATCAAAGTGTCACTATTAGTATATAAAGCTCTTAAGCTTGGGACTAGTTTACTCACAGGATCACCTTGCCCCATTTATGCCCACTTGACTGCTTCAAGCTGTGGAACTGGCACTGTTACAGGTGTGACACAATACCCGTCCCATAATTTTAAGAAACTGATAATTTAGCGAGCAGCACCCACACTTTGGAACTCCCTGCCTGCTAACGTCAGGCATTTGCCTTCACTGTATTTTCAGCACCTTTGAAAATGTTGTATTTGGGCCAGCCCTATACAGACTTGTGGAAGTTAAAAGGATTTATATCTTTTTAGCTGCTGTTGATTTTAATCATCTTTTGAATATTTTAAATACCAATTTTTTACTTTTTAAAAAATCAATAAGTTTAACGTTTTATTCTATATTCATTTAAATCTTTGTAAACCACTTAGAGGTATACAGATTTTCAGCCAGGGGCAACCCGGATCCGAGGCTGTAACTACCAATAATAATTAATTCTCTAATCCAAATGCAATTTTGTTTATGGCAGAAAAATTACCTTTTATACCTCTTAGGCATCCATTCTTTGACTAGCCTGTCTGACGTAAAGCCAAATGTTTCTAGCTTTGGTTGACATGATTCTGGAAGTTTGAGTGTACGGCTTAATCAAGTGCTATACAAATTTTGTTACATAACTAAACCAGCCATTATGGGCATACGTATAATATGAACTACTGCATCTGTGATGTCCAAACTCAGCAAATATCACCACTTATTCCTAAAACATGAAAAACCCTCAAGGTACTCCCACAGAATCCAAATAATTCTTGCCTCCAATTTACTTATTTTGTTCTTCATATGAACTAGAAGTAGGGAACCTGTGGTTCTCCATATATTGCGATACCACAGCTCCCAGCATCCCTGACCACTGCTCTTGCTGGTCAGGGCCAACAGAGTTCAACAACATCTGGAGGCCCAGAGGCTCCCTCCCCTTGATACAAACAAAACCACAGGCTTATATTAACGATGTCCTTCCTTTACGTGCATTCCCCTATAAGAGAGGAGGGCACACTACAAGCAATGGCCATTTTACACTTGTTCAATGCGCATGTGATCATGCACATCGCCGCAACCTGGAAATGACCTGAAAAGGGTGTGTGTGTGTGTGTGTGTGTGTGTGTGTGTGTGTGTAATGGGGAGGGTTTACACATTCTCCGCTGACATGGGGGGGGGCAGGAATGCAACCCCTGCATAAATTGGGGATTGCCCAGGATGACAAACAATTTGCAGTAGAAAAAGGAATCAGTGACGCTTGGTTTCTTTCCAAAGATCGGAACTTTATAACAAACGTCTCGGACTTACTTCCCCTCTGAGCTGTAACTGTTCATGCTGCCGTCTGTGGATTCCCGGCTGGCTTGACGTGTCATCCAGTTTCTCATCTCCACAGCCAACCCAGTTTCTGTGCTTCTCTGGACTGTGCTCTTTAACTTTTTGCCACCTGCTTCTAAAGAAATATAATGAAATGCTTAGTGGTATCACATCTCTACAAGAAACAGAATACCTGGAAGAGAACGACATAATCCCTATTGTGTCAGCATCTTTTTTTGGGGAAATCATATTTTTAAAAACTATAGTTGTACCCTTGTGCAACTGAATTACATGCTTAAAATATAGTGATTCTAACTTAAATGCTTTTTATGGGAACAATGAGAGGGAATATGAAAGGCTGATCTCGAAACATATCAAACTCCTACAGTTAACCAGATGTATACCGTATGCATGAAAATAACTTCGCTTAGCGACCATTTCCCTCCAAAAATTGCACCGAAACAGCATTGTCAAAACCAAAAATTATCATGGCAGCCATTATAATAACCATTGTATTTTACTTCTATTTAACCAATGCACAGCTCAGTTTTGTACATGTATACTAAGAAGACAGACCCATTGAGCTCAAATCTTAACTAACCATTTGAAGCTAACCCTCCCAAACAAATTGAAGTAGGATGTGTATGTAAACATGTCAGTCGTTACTTGAATTCATTTGTATTTGTATGCTTTCTTCTCCATGTCTTCTAAAATCAGCATGACCAAAACTCAAAAGACTTTACAGTCAATTTGTTTCATTATTATTGTCTTAGTATGGTGAAGAGTGTTTTAAATATATTCCATATAGCAGGTATGGGGAAGCTTTTTCTGTTGAGCACCGAATACCCTTGGGGTAATCTGTTGAGGGCTAAAGCTGGCAGTGGGTGGAACAGTAACTGTGTCTGCTTGGTTTCAGCCTATTATTTCACATGCTTTAAATTCAGCGCAACCTCTGTCAACCTGGTGACCTCCAGATGTTCTGGACTACAACTCCTATGAGCATCAGCCACACAGCTGCACCTGCACCTGGAAGACACCTGCACCTGGTTGGCAGAGGCTACCTTACAATGTTATTGACTCAGTAATAATAATAATAATAATAATAAATCCTAAAATAACAGAAAAATGCCAGTGGGCTTTACTGTAGGGACAATAAATGACATTCAAACCATGATATTGAGCTTTCTTGCCTCGTGTTCCCTTCTGCCACTATGAGGAACAGGGAATGATATGAAATGTGCCATGACTGTAGCTGGAGATCAATTGATGAAGAAATAGGACCCCCTTTTGTGTGAGTGGAAATGCCTTCTTCTACTCATGCAAGTAGCCATTTGGAGTCAACCAACAACAACTTCAAGAACTTGGCACACCTGATCTGCAAGCAACTTGGTATACAAGATCTGCCTGATGAGGTCTACAAAAGTGCTAAGTTTCAAACCAGTTATGTGCTCATGTTTCTCTTCCACTGCAATTTATCCTTCCAATGACCCTTATGAGGCCCATAAGATCCAAAGCAGAAATTCAAAGTAGGTTTCTACTATGCTGTCTTAGACATAGGAACCAACTCTTAGGGACTGAGGTCCCTTCTTGAGTGGGCCAGCCCCCAGTTGATGGGCATTGCCATTCAAATAGTGTGCATGCACCGTGTCATGTGATTGATTGTATGGGACAGGGCTTATGTGTTGTTCAAGTTGGCAGCCCTGGTCTTAGACATGGCCATACAACCTGTTGAAGAGAGATTCCAGCAGCTACAACAATATAATTCCCTATTTGGCTTTCTACTTCCTATTCCTGAAGATGCATATAAGGCCTGCAAGAATTTGGAAAAACCATTGCCGCATAATGGAAACAAAGATATTGACGCTGAACATCTGTGCTGTGAACTTACAGCAATAGCTCAAAGACTTCCAAAGTCTATGCCACCACAAGGAGTATTTCTCTTCATACTACAAGCAAAAACTCCTGGATAATGTGCCTGATGTTTCTGTTGCTCTAAGGATCCTCTTCACACTTCCAGTATCAGTGGAAAGTGGTGTGAGATAGCTTACATATACAGGTGGTGACCATTTTGTGCAGGGGTTTCATGCCTGGCTCCCGTGTGCAGTGCACATAAGTCTGCTCTGCCCTCTTCTGGATCCAAAAGGACCGCACGTTGGCGGTCGCACATCAACTGGACGTGCGCAAAATGGTCGCCACTGTCTGTACTCAACAATGTTGCAAAAGAGATTAGTTGGCTTGGCAACTATATGAATTGAACATGCCCAAGCATCAGCGCTGGACCTGACGGAATTGGTGCCAAACCTGCAAATGAAAAGGCAGGCAACGTGAGATTTTGATGCGCCTGATATCGAAACTTTTAAGAGACTTACATTTTTTACATAACAACGTACAAAATGATTTGTGTGCTAAATGATTTCCTTTGTATTTGAGAAAGATAATCAGAGACTGTTGTATTACTTATTATTGCAATTAAATTAGTGGTTTCAAGTTTTGTGCTTTTCAATTTTTTTCTACAAGACTTCTTTTTTAAATCAAAATTAGCAATTGGGGGGCGGGGAAAGATGCAAGTAGCTAGCCTTGACCTGGATGCAAAAGAGCCTGGGACTGGCCCTGGGGACGGGGAACTCATGGCCTCCAGATGTTGTTGGACTGCAAGTTGCATCATCTCTGATCATTTGCCATGCTGGCTGAGGGTGATGGTTCCTCGCCCCTGCCTAGAGCATATGTGCTCTGGGGTTTGGGGTTGGGTTCTTCACATGATGTTGCAGAACATTGCTGTATGTATGTCTGCACAAAGGCCACAGAAAAGTATAAATAGTTCAGCTGAGCTGTAATCATAGCAGGAAAAAAACCCTGCTAGCCTCATGCAGGTCAGTTGTGAGAGTCAACTCTTAATGTGACACTTGCAGCAGGAACAGATAAAGGCTGCACATCTGTACACACATACTTCAGAGTAAGTCCCACTAAGCAAAATTAGGCTTACTTCTAAGTAGGCATGTATGTGATTCAACTGCATGCTATTCTTCCAGGGGATCAATGGGCAGCTCTAGGCAACCTTGTTCCAATTTGGAACTAAAGCTACATACATAAAAAGGTCTCATATGGAATAGTATTCACCACAAACAACTGCTTTAGATTTGATATGCAAAATTATTTAAGGTCATCTTCACATGATTTAATCATTATTATAATACAAGCTGTCATGCTTTGGAGTAAGCATGCAAGTACATTTAATTTATATTCATTCCAAGGGAAGGTTAGGGATGCAGATGTTGTCAAGCATTCTAACCCCTCCCCAAAAAACCCCCACCCAGGAGTTAATTAACAACGGCTGGTAAATATTAAGCAACTCTAAATAAAATAACTACTGCTGTATCATTATTCTCCTGTTTTATGCTGCTTGTGCATTAATTTCAGTAGCAATTCTGTAGTCCCATGGGCAGAAAACATTTCCATAAAGTGTGAATGCTGAATATCACAGGGCTCCATTGTTTTTTTTAAAAAACTGGGTTCTGAAAGTTATGTAGCATTTTTGTTTTTGTTTTGAAGGGCACTATGTATTAGCTACAAATATTGATTGTGACACCCGCTGGTGCTCTCATGGATACAAGAAACTACCACACAAAGTGGCCCTAATCCAGAGGTAGCCACTGTGGAATCAAGTGTCATGGGTGACCAGGTGGGCATCTACTACTAGCACCTGGAGTTTCGAATTCCTGTATGGATTGAGACATAGATAGAAAATGGGTAGGATTTCAATAGCTGTATGTGCTTGTGAATGGCCATCTGCATGCAGATATGTCTCACTGAACTGCATCTTCTTATCTGGATTGGTGCAGCTATCCTTCCAACCTTACTGTAAGGGTGGAAAGCTTACAGAAATTTATTAAAACAAGTGGGAGGAGAGTATAAATTAAAAGAATTTAAGGAATTATCAGGGAAATTAACAACATGGAAACAATATCATCATTTGAATGAAGTATTTAAGAAAGATAGGATACAAGGGTTTGGGGGAAAATATCACAACCGGAGAGAGACCTGTTGGAATGTGATGTGAAAGTGCTGTCTAAAATGTATAAAATATTATTGGAATGGGAGACAAAGGATGAGCAAGTAAAATCCCCAATGATACATTGGGCAATAGATATCGGTCATAAAATAGACATGGAAGCATGGGAACAATTGTGGAATATGGATATAAAATTTACAGCATCTTATGGTCTAAGAGAAAATTATATCGAACACCGAGTAAACTGGCAAAAATGTCTAAATCTAAATCAAATAAGTGTTGGAAATGTAAAGAGAAAGAAGGTTCTTTTTATCATATGTGGTGGTCTTGTAGTAAGGTTAAAGCTTACTGGGAAATGATATATAATGAATTGAAAAGGATGCTTAAAATAACGTTTGTAAAAAACAAAACAAAACCCAGAAGCTTTTCTGTGGGAAAATGATTGCTTGTACATGAGAGCATGAGCAAAGTTCTTATTACTGCAGGGTGATTTCATAGCTAGAAGCATCCTTGGAGCATGAACAGCGCGTGAACAGCTCGTGCTGTCCCAAATGATTGGTTAACGTAGCATGGCCTGATGCTCGCATGGTCTAGTGCGATGGTCCTTATCTGCTGGCTGAGAACAAATTGCTTCGCTTGTATTTTGTATCTTTCTGACTTCACACAATAAAGGCTGTGCTGCAGTAGCCCTAGAGCAGCCATATTTCTTCAACCCATCATGGTGTGAGACTGCTTTGCCTTTTCGGGAACCTACACTCTAGGGATATTGATACCCCTGATAGATAAGCTCCCAGAGGTTCGTTTGCGTAACAGAAGGGAAGTATAATCACCTATTTCTCATTATACAGGAGCAGCCATCTCTAGACCCCTTTTTCCCTCTTTAGGTGTAGGGATGAATTACCGTGATTTGCATAGATTGGCAAATTCGACCAAAGCCTTGTTTAATTCTACTATCTTGGCTTTAAAAATGATTAACACAGAAATGTCAGAAATAAGAGAAGTTGTTTTATAAACTTTTTATGCTTTAAATGCAATCCTTGCCTCTAAAGGTGGAATTTATGCCTTAATTCATTCTCATTGTTGTATGTATATAACTGATCAATCAACCAATATCTCTGCTATTATTG